AAAAAAAAAAGACTAAAAGAGGAAGAGCTGCACTTTTTCCCATAAGCACTTTCCCTCTGCCTTTCTCGACCTGAGGTGCAACTGTCTCGTACACAAGCTATTTCTGACAGTGGCCTGCCACTTCATTCATGCTCTTGAGCTGCTTAATCCTCTTTAGCATGGCTGGGAGGGGCTGCTGTAGATCCCTACGTGAACTGGGCAAAGGGCGTGAGACACTGTGGACGGTCGGGTTAACTGTCACAGGAAGCACCGACTGCAACACACACTAAAGGAAAATCTGATAACGAGGGTGCTAATCTCCACGGTTGTCACACACTGACAGCTGTAGAACAGATAACGGTTCATACTTCGGGTTTATGGCCACCTTGGTTCAGTTACATAATCTAATGGTTTAAGACTAGACTGGTGACAATCGTTACTGTTACACCACCTCTAATTGGTGAGCTGACTTCAGGACACAGTCGTATCGTGTGTGTGTGTGTGTGTGTGTGTGTGTGTGGAGCTGATAAACATCTTGGTGGGAGCACTCGAAACAGCCTTGTGATTGCACAGTAGAATAAAAAGATGTGGTTAAACGTGGAGTGTAATCTGTCAGCCAGCAACAACATACAAGTCACGCTTGGCACAGTGGACAGCTAAGTAAACAAGCGACAGCAGAGCAAAAGCTGTGTGTGTGTTTGACAACGCGCTAAGTGTTTATCTGGTAAAAATGAGCCACAGTGAACCTACTGTGAAGGATCGCAGGCAGTGACAAAATATTAGCTTCAGACGTTTTTGGAAACAACAGGAAAACTAATTTTAAAAACAAAAGAATCCAAAGGAACAAGACTTATAACTACAGGTGTCCCAAGCAAATCTCAAAGGCTTGGTCTGGGATTAATATCGCATTATCAATCAATACGTGGTTAACTGATGCCACCACTAAGCCCTGCTGACTGTTGTCCTGTGCTGGTATTGTTAGTTTAGTCAACAGACCTATGATATGAGCCGCAAAGTCAGCTCTGTTACATGTCCTCGCTAATCCCAGCTTGTCTCAAACACATGAGCTCCTGTCTGAGATACCAATACTAAACGACTTGGATCAAGGGCAGAAAAAAATCGGATCACGTCACTCCTACTTATAATTCAACGTATTTTCACTATCAAAATAAAAATAAAAAGGCACGCACCTGCCCCAGAATGAGGACCTATTCTTTTCATTAGGCAGTAACTTAGTGTCATGACAACATGTTTTATGCTAATAATCAAAAAGTGAGACTACTGTAGACAGTAAAAAGACAGGGCGGCACAGCGTTGCAGCGGTTAGCACCTTCGTCTCAAAGCTAGGAAGTCCTGAATCCTAGTCTGGGGTCACCTTTTGTGCACACCAGGTTTTACTTGTACTCTTTATTCAACGTGTATTAAATTGTGTGTAAATGTATTTACCTGTATATGTTTTTAGGTCTTGTGTTAAAGTCATAACCAGTGTGCCTTATAAACAAATAAATTGGCTCAAGTGGTTAAATTCAAAGTAAATTGGGTAAATTTAAAGCCATCATTAAAAACAGGTGATTTGAAAGTTGCAACAGTCATCAATGTCGAGACATTTCATTTCATTGTGTTAAACAGAGAGAGTATTCCCATTAGTGCAAAAGAAATGTTCAGAAAAGCAAAAGTCAGATGTCTTAGTTAAGGAACAAGACTCTGGCTGCAATGCATGGAAGGGCATTAAGACTAGTAAACATTAGGTCTTTGCTGTTTGCTTTGTGAGGAGGAGCTGAGATCAGGACCTGGTATTTTACAACTGATATTTGAGAACGTTGCTGAGCCACTCTGATGACATGCATGAATCAGGTCTTGCCAGAAAGACTTCAAGGTGATACAAAAACTATTTTGTCTGTGAAGTGCAGCAAGACTCACAGCGGGAATGTTGCTTCAGAGAGTATGTTTAGGCTGCTCTTGTGCAAAATATCTCATATTTTTTGACAAAGAAAAGGACTGTAATACCAAATAAGTTTAGTGAAACTGAAAGAACTGGACGTGCCTGTGGATGCAGGGATCATCAGGGAGTTATGTAGTTAACCTCGCTTTACCTGCTGGAAGTAAGCTAAGTTACGATAAAAATCCAGTGAGACGTGTTCGTCTTACTTACTTTGCGCTGAGGTGGTGGGAACACTTCACCAGCAGCCTCATGCAGTGGACCGCGATGACACCCATACACAGAAGACTGACTGGTCCGAGCTGGACAGAGACAGACAGACATAACGGTCAAACAGAGAGCATGACGAACAGCCTGCTCTGTTTAATCTCTGCATGACAGTGTTTCAGCACAACACTACAATTAAAATCAAATGGCACATCCCATGACGTTGCATGTTATGAAATAATACTGACACATCACGTTAAACCCACGGACGCCCTGTGAGTTGTCAAAGGTACACGTCGACACAAGAGCATTAATTAGTGACTTATCGATCTTGTCTCAGTGGTTGATGCAATGACTGCTTGATTAATCATTTAAATGATCAAAATAAATAAAGCAGCAATCATTTTGATAACAGATCAAAGCAACTTTTCAAGAGAAACTGCCAAAAAGTGACAGTTCCAGCTCTTTAAAGGTGACAATGTTGGTCTTACGTTGCATTAGCTTGCATGTAACTAGGTTTTGGACTCTGTTTAGAAATGCATAATGGCCATTTTTCGTAGGTTTCTAGCATTTTATTGACCAAATGACTTAACCATTGAGGAAATAAAATTAATAAACAATGGTAAGAACTCTTAGTTTAGCTCTCCTGCTGCCTGCATTCTATACTTGTCTCAGAGACCGTTGTACACATGGTTTATATTACCAGAAAAAGAAAGGCTGTTGTAGTATGTAGTGAATCCTAAACAGCCTGTTTCATGACAATATTCTGATAATTTCACTTTTTGTTAACTTGATAAGCCATGAGCAATTCAAACTTGACCTTCACTAGTTTTCTTTTTGTTCGTACAGCTTTAGCTTCACACCTTCAGAGTCCATGAAAGGTTCTCACAAGCAAGAGCAAAATATGTGAAGGGAAGATATGAAGTTTGAACATAGTGGCTTTTGTTGTTCTGGTTTTACAATGCCATGAGGCACAAAGTGTTTTTCTCACTACTCTGACCACAATGTTTCACTGTCATGCGACCTGCAGTGGTTTTCACACCACAATAGGAACCCTCTGCAAGGTTCTGTGAAGTGTCACAGCTCAGGGAAAGCAGAAGTACCAATAACACAAATTAATTAAGAGTACTTTTTTAAATTTCTTTTTGAGAAATCACTTATTCACTTATGAATATGTAACAGTCCTTGAGGTTTGTTGCTGCTCCCAACTGACAACAGCAATATATTCTTTTACAAAAACATACTGCAGACAAATCCCTCCCTGCGAACACTCTAAATCACATCCAGGCTGCAACACCTGCTGGACCACATCTGGACTTTGTCATGAATATCTGACAGGGACAGGAGATGAATCTAATTGTCTTTGTCCAGACCATGCAGCCTGGAGTAGCTGGATAATAACATCTCTGTATGCTTACCACCAGCCCTGCGTTCTTGACAGCCAGAGGCAGCCCCAGCAGCCCCGTACCGATGTTCCCTTTCAACAGGTGGATGAGAGTCTGGCAAAAACTGAAAAATGAACAACACAGCGAGTTACGTTTACATTAGGCCAACGACATCTTGATTTCATCTTCTAACAGTCTGACAAACACTACTGAACGCTTTACGTCAGGTTTTATAATACTTACGAGGTTCCTGTCCGTCCTCCAATCCTCTCATAGTTGCGCTGTGGTCTGGATGGTCCAGGAGGAGACGGACACAGAGCATCCATCTCTGATGGGTTTTGATCGGAGAACAAAGAACCTTGAAACAAGAACAGACAAAATCCTCAGAAAGTTCCTTTCTACATTCATTCTGTTTATTTGATATAAACATTTCACAAGACACTTCCCTCACTCCAAAGGTTTTACACACTGCTGCTTTTCAGTAAGTGTGTTTTAAAAAACGGTTAAATGGTTTTTCTGTGGCACATAATGCTGAAGTGAAAGGAAGGAACGATGTGTTGGATCTAATATCTCACCTCTCCAGATAGGGTCATCATAAAAATCAACCAAACCTGAAAAAGGTTCCACCTGATTTCTTCTGTGTTAGAAATACGGCTCTAATATAGGTGTAGTTTGACATTTGCAAATGTAGCTTTTGTCTGTGAATCGGGCAAACAAAATCAGGGTTCACATGTTTTATATGATGGTTTGGACAACATCCTGCATGATCATGTTCCTTGCTTCGCAGAAAAGACAAATGTTGATATAAAGATTCTGCAGCTCACAGCCACAGCTTAACTTTGTGAGCATCAAAACATAACTACATTAGGTTTTTGTTTTAAACAGAATATGAGCCTGGTATCAAATGCAGGGAAAAACGATACCTTTCATATGCTAGAACTTGTTGTGAACAACCACCTATCCCACATGGTGGTGTGACCCTTTTACCCAAAATGCACTTTAAACGTTTTCTCCAGTGAACCTTCAAAAAACAAAAAACACAACTAGGATGCTTTTTCTATTACTCAATGTCATAGACACTAAACTACTGCCAATTAGCTATAGGAGCTATAATATATCTCATGATGATGATGATGATGATCACAGCTGGTGATAGAAAATAGTCCTGCTGAACAAAAACAAGGTTTGGTTTTAGATTGTGACACCTGGAGTGAATGTAAAACTGACTTGGTTCTAGTTTGACAGAGCTCAAGCATGTTTTTCAGCCCTGAAAATGGCACGTGTCTATCTGCCTTAAAGGTATGTCAAGTTATAAGAGCTCATGATGTCAGAAGAAGTAGCACAAATTAAAAAGGGCAACATTTCAACCCACCCTACGCACTCAAAAGGCCCGTATTTCTGAAAACATGTACAGTATGAAGGTAAAAGTTTGCATGACTTTATTAAATTGACTAAAGTCGTACAAAAAAAAAAAAATTGCTGATTTCGAAGGGATCATGTGGGAGGCACTGGTCCATGTTCCATGGAATTACCCGACTGTTCCTGACCACAGCCTGGCCCAGCCCAGTGCACTTGAAACAGATTTAATTAGTGGCATGGGAAAAACAACATGAGACAGACGTTTGGCAGTCTGTCTCTTTCTGATTCAAGAATTTTGCTCTACTGCCACCATTTGTTTTTACAGGAGAACGATGGAGAAATCAAGCACATACAGGTGATTCACAAAAACAAATTACAGCTAAATTTAGCAATCTGTTTCACCAGCAAAGATTTACTTTTTGGCCACTTTGGAGAATCAGAAACAAATATATTGTCACCATTTAAGTACAATAATGGCAAACTTTTTTATGAAACGGCTACCAATTTATACATTTAAACATTAAAATCAGCTGTCACCATCCGCATAAGTCTGATATTAATTTCCATTTCCACAGTTTTTTGGCTTCCACCAAGTGCTCAGGGAACATTTGGCGCTTTAGTTGCTAAATGTTTCACTATGTTCACCAACTAAACAGCATCCCTCTGCCTTTTGGTGCTGAGCAGACAGTGTATGATGGTGTGCTCCATGAAAATGGTGCCGCTGTCAAACAGAGGATGCTAAAGAGAGCTGCAAGAGGAAACATTCTGGAAAACCAAAACAAGATAAAAAATAAAAACAACTTTGTAAAGGTCAGGTAATAATTTCCATTTTCATTTCCATTGCCAGCAAGTCATGCTAGTTTGGCTCCACAGTCTGATATCTACTGTGCACTACAACACATAAAAAGATCTCATGATTTTTAAAGCCACAGTGACTCAATTGAATAGAGAAATCCCTCTCTTCTTTAAAGCAGCTGACTGTGATAAACACACAACAGTATTCACTGGGTCCTCTGCCCTGCAGCTACACTTAACTACCGCTACCTGCTCGCTGATGAATGTGTTTAATGATCTGAGACACGTTGCTGCTTTAGCACACAGACTCCAGGACATCAGTGGAGTTTACATTAGTCCTTCTTATTATGCTTTCACAGCAGGGAGGGTTCTTCTTGTTACATCAGCAGGAAGAATGTCTCCTCACAGTGTGAAAACAAAAGCCAAAACGAAACCGAGACCCATTTGTCAGTCCTTACAAAGCCCTGTGCTCCAAAAACCTGTTTGGTTTGACACCAATGATTTATGTACAACAAACACTGACAATGTTCATGTTTTTAAGGACCATTCAGTGAGTTCTGCAACAACACACAAGCGGAGCATCAGAAAACAGAAAAGTGCAACACAAACACTGTCTGAAAGACTTCACATGATGGCAAAAAAATGCAATGCTCACTTCACAGTGCTCCGAGAAAAAAAAAAAAAAAATCTTTACAGTAGGTGTACATAAGGACTTGATAAATCAGAAATAACTCTCTCACAACATAACAAATGTCTAATTTATTTATTGTTGTGACCTCCTGCCAGAGAAGACACCAGTCAGGGGCATCAGGCAGATTTTGTAAATGAAATGAAAGCCGCTTTGATGATTCAGTGTCTACCTGCCAATATGGATTATGTATAATCCTTCTATGACTATGGACACAGGTCATGTTGTACTGTATCTACACCATCAATTCAATTTCCATTCAATATGCTTTATTGGCCTGAACATCAGTTTAACAATCGTGCCAAAACATCACTATCACTACCGGTGTTTTTTTTCAATGACTGTGATCTAATATCCACATAAACAAGGATGGTGCCTCTCAGCTTCATACCTTCACCTCGGATGTCTACATCACTGGAGGCCATCATGTTGGGTCAGGTGGTTTCGTCAAGGTGTTCGTCTCTCCCAGCCTTGCAGAGCCTAATGCAGGCAGATCAGGGAGTCTAGCATTGACAACTCCCCGCTGAAAAAGACAAGAGTGTAGTCCAGTGTGAGGTTTGGCAGCAGCAAGGAAACAAGCCAGTTAACTTCACAACAGAAAGCAGTGACAGTGATAGATCATACTCTCTGAAAGACATGCAGCTATCATAATAATGACAGAGGCTGGTGGTTATTTTTCAGATGGTATAATAATGATTAAAGACGCTGAAAAAAGCCTTCACAGTTTTGAAGAGTCTAAGGTGACCTCTTTAAAAGTTCAATACCCTGAAAATCAATTAAAGCTGAAACAAAAAAAGAGCAAAGTTTCACAGTGGAAAAGACAGAACAAGTAAACATTTGACATGTCAATTCAAAAATGATTTAAATAAGTTTGCAATTAATTGTCTGTCAACTTACTAACAACAGTTTCAGCTCTAATCATGACAAGTTAAATCGTCCAGTAAATCAATTAAACACTGTCGATGAATATGTATTCTTGAATGACAAAACTAATGAAATACCAACCTCCAACCTGTTTGTGAAGTCGCCCTGTTAAGCTCTGCGTACTTTTGTAATGGCTGTGGTTTAGTTTGGTTTCATTCTTGTGTTTCTACTTTCTGATCATTTCTAGCGAGGCACTCCAGCCCACTGAGCCATGATGTTACATAAGAGCATGATAATGACTGGTAGTTCACACACAACATCTTTATGACCTGCTGTGTGCTCATACAAGGATTTGCACAACAAATTTGCTGTCCTCCTGCTGATTAAATTCTAAGAGGATATGAGAACAAGAAAAGTAAACAAAGCAGCGAATTTTAGGAAGCAAAACTGTTTGCATTAGCCAGCAGCAGCACTATTTAGTGTATAATGAGTTCAGGAATAATACCAAATGACGGACTTTGAACTAAATGAGACCAAACATTAGGATTTAAAGGCATTAGTGTGAGGAATGTATCCTGCCTTTACCTTACATTAACACTGTGAACTCCTGTTCTTTAACAGAATAAATATAAGTAAGGTATTTAAAGGAACACTATGATGCTTCATTTGTGTCCGCATCAACTCATGCTAGATTTCTGCTGGCAGTTCGTCTTTGGGATGAGCCGTTGTTCAGCAGTGGTTCAGCGAGCATGCAGAAATGTAGTGCGACCTCCACAACAGCTCATAGCGCAACCGTGCTCGCAGACCGAAGTCTCTGAATTACAACCGATTCAGCAAATTTCACAATGACACGAGAACACTAAACGAAGCAGCAGGGAAATGCAAATAGCATGGTGTGCAATTTTCCTTCTTCATTTCATTGAAACTTATGTTTCAATTAGAAAGAGTATTCATATTTATACATAATTGATTTCACTTAACAAGAAGAGACAGAGTGATCACTGTATGAAAAGTATCTCAATGTTTTTTACAGAACAGGAGTAAAGCTAAAAACTATTTCCAGCAAAGACAGACGGCAGCAGTGTTAAACTGAATATTGTGACTTGAAATAACTATTTCCATCAAGGCTCTCGGAATAAACTTGACATGAAATGTATATATGCTGTACTTGTCTTGCCAGTCTTTCTTCAAGTATTACATTAGCCATAGCTTACAGTGTGCTACTGAACATACAGTCTTGAATTATATTACACATTTCTTCTTTATGTTTTGATATGATGTACACTGATTAGGGTTTAACAAACAACTATGTGGCAATAATATTGCCCACATAACTTTGTGATCTTATTAAAGGGCTTTTTTTTTTGTCCATTGAAATGTCCCAAAAAATGTCAAAGACGAAAACAACAAATTGGGAAATTTTAGGAGGGAAATGCAAATTGAAGGCATCCTTATTCCAGTCATTGGGCTCAAATAACTATCAAAACTTAGGTACTAATGTATATAAACACAGAGCACAAGCTTGTACTTTTCTAGTCTATTCTCATATTGTAAATACCCAAAAGCTTTCCATTTATGTTGTAATGAAACTCTTGGACCAAAAACAGATATATGCAAACAGTGACTTCAACATGCACAGGTGTGGTGTTATAATAAAAACTGGATACACCTCCTCGGGTTTATGGCTGATAAGATTACACAGTACATTCCGGGTTTAAGCAGGATGCTGCCAAAGTGAATGCGATGTTTTTGCCAGTCTTCCTTTCCTCCTTGATGTTTCCCAACGTTGTCCTTCGATGTCAACACACACAGCGACAGGATCAACGGGCTAATCCCGTCATTCTAAACGAATCTCTGGCCGGGAGACGTGTGAGTGTCTCAGCCGCCTCAATGGACATATGAGACAGACAAACACGACTGATGCCGTTTGTCCACCGGGCCACACTTTCAAATGAGCTTTTAATTAATTGCGCTAAGAAAGCAGCTAAAACGAGGCTGTGCACTAAACAGGTTAGCCTCCGAGACATACGCGGAAAGAGGAGACTGAAATAGCAGGAAAGGAAGAGCTGAGCTAAAATTGGAGCTACTAGCGGCAGATTAGATCCCTTAACGCGGATGTTAAAGAGAAGGCAGCTAGAAACCTGCTTCATTTTGCTTGAGCTCGACGAAGATGTTAAAGCTAGCTTAGCTAAGGTGTGTGTCATAAAACTAGGTTAGCAAACGTTAGCTATAGGGTCCATCTTTGTGTCCGTAAACACCCAGCAGTAGTAGCAGCAGCAGCCTACCTCGGAGATATCTTTTTATCCCTTTTCGTCTCAGTCAGGCTTTGTGTGGCTAACCTCGCCGCAGACCTCTTATTTTCGTATCGTTGTCATGTCAGGTTGAAAGCAGCGCGGCAACGCTACACAGATTGAAACGCAAAACAGGACTCGGCTCCTCTTGTAGCGTCACAGAGTCAGCGGCGAGCTCACGTGACCCGCCGAGCAGGACGTTGTCGTGCTGTTCGACGTGCTGTTGCCATAGAGACGGATTAATAGTTAAAGTTAGTGAAAGTCGGGAGTATTTATATACGCGTACAATTCAGCCCGGATCAGTGAATGCCAGGTGGACAATATTGTCAAAGCATCAAGGATGATGGTTGGAATTTAAAAAAAACAAAACAAAAAAAAAACAAGTGAGAGAATATTGCTAAAAAAAAAAGAAAAAAAAAGAAGAAGAAGAAATAGAATCAAGTGACGGAGAAATAAGATAAGATAAGATATGCCTTTATTTATCTCACAGTGGAGAAATGGCAAACACGGAAAAAGAATAGCAGTATATACATATACTGTATGTCAAAATAGTACCGTACATATGTGTTTTGAAGTATTATGTAGTATTTTTATTTATTTATTATTTTTTGCAATTTCTTACATTATTTTATTCACTTATTCTTTTTTTTCCTTTTTTAAAATATTTTTTTTCTTTTTAATTTCCGCACCTCAATATTGTTCCTGACATTCATGCCAACAAAGCATGCTGAATTGAATGACATTGTAGGTATATTTTAGCTAATGATTACACATTTCATTTGTAGATCCAAAAAAAAAAGAAAGAAAAAAAAAGGACCCACGCTTTTGTTTTTTTGTCAGAAAGACATTTTGTAATATTCTGGGAAACATGTCAAAAAACGACAAAGAAAATAACCTCATTAAGTTTCAGTGTCGTCCAACCCATTCATAATAATGATAAAAGTGTATGTTTTACTGTGAGACCACTCAGCATCACTTGTAAGGTTTTTAGACTACACTGAGGATGCTTTTCTAGGGTTTTTTTGTACTTAATTGACTTGCAAGTATATTGAGACTAATGATTGCATATTGTAGATCTTGTTAGAGAACACTCTTTGTTGCCCTTTAGCTCCTCCACAGAACACCACAGACTAGCAACAGCAGCATCTTTATGAAAAACATGACTGGAAAGACTTCAAATCAGGAGGCCTTCTCCTACCTGGTTTAGTTGTGGTTATTTTATTTTTGTCCTTGCATATCACAGTTGTCTGTCTCTAAGTGTAGCCCTGTGATAGACTGGTGACCTGTCCAGGGTGTCTTCTGCCTTCACCCAGAGTCATCTGGGATAGACTCCAAGTAAAGTAATAATAAAAAAAGGCCTTTTAATTAATTTGGTCAAGTTACCTGCAATGCCTTCAGGATAAAGCGGAGATAACGAGGGTTTATAATTCGTTGTCTCGGTTTAATTTCTCACACCTTACATTGTTTCTGTGCGCCTATATGCACTTAAAAAAATCTGTTAAAAAATAAAAACATATGCTTTCATAAAGTTACACTGCGTCATCTTTCCAAGCGGACATCCGGTTTGGTGACGTTGCCAGTTAGCTTGACAGCTAGCAGGTAGTTCACGTATCTGCCGGTTCTCGCAGTAATTTTTTTTTACAACTTACTAGTCAGCCAGAGGCAAAGGTCCACAGCTGGTCTGATCAGCAGGTTGCGACACATCACTTCAGACATGACGGTGGGTTTTTACCAGCGGTTTTCTTTACTTGTTGTAAAGCTTAGCTTTATTACGCAGCTAGTTGAGATTAGCATTCACTCTCGGTATTGCTATGTGTGTAGCTTGCAAGCTAGCTTTCAAATTCGTCTTAATCAGTTAGCAGTAATGTCAATATGTGCCAGAGAACAGGTGGAAGCAACGATCGACTTTGTTCATTGACTTGATTGAGCAATAGCGTGGATCGGACAGCACACAAAGTCGGCAGTGTTAGACTCCACTGCCTGGATTCAATATTGTGCCTGGAGATGATTCTTTCTATCAAGGCCCCCGAGTTTCATTTGACACTAAATTTAAATGTGCTTTACTTATCTGGAGAGTCCTTTATCAAATTTTACAATAAGAACGGCTCATTGCACGCTGCTAAAAATACAGTTTTGAATCACACGACACTTTAGTTCTTGTATGTTTTCGTTTGAACCAACCATTATTTAGTTCTTTTTAATATGCAATCAAATTTGACAATACTATTCGCCTATGAAATGGCAGAAACTAGTGAAAGATCATTCAGCATGTGTGTGATGTTTTCAAATTGCTTGTTTTGTCAGACTAACTGTCCAAAACCCACAATGAATTCAATTTGCAAAGAGACCACAACAAGTAATTCTAAAATGTGGGAATCTTCATCCTGCAAATTTTAGACATTTTGGCCAGATTTACGTTCAGTGTGTTTAGATAAACGTCTGTGCCCTTATATACAAACTCAAACAAAATGACTAAGGTTTATAATAACAATATTTATAGTAATACTATAATAATAATAATAATAATTGAAATTAGAGCCATGTAAACTTTTCTAGTGCATGTTCATATTCTCTGCAATCACAAGCTTTTCAATTCCAGATCAGTGGTGGTGATGATGTGTGAAGCTGCTTTTGTTTCCTAAACTGAAACATGCATTAATCACAACTGATGAGAGACTGTGATCATGTTATTGATTGCACTGAACAATGCAATCGTCCTAAATATGACAAATAAAGGAATTGCTGCAATGAATAATCAATTAGTTGTCCACAAAGAAATCAGTTTGCAATTATTTTACTAATCTTTTTGTAAGATTTAAGAAAAAGCTTCTTTAATATCATCATTTTCTGTTTTCCTTTCTCCCCTGTGACAGTAAATTGAATATCTTTGGGTTGTGGACAAAACAAGACGTTGTCATGTTGGGCTTTGGGAAACACTGGTCGACATTTTTTGAATTTTCTTACATTTTATTGACCAAGGAATGAATTTATAATAGAGAAAAAAATGACAACAACAATGTCTGACCCCCTTGATAATGTGGTGTTAGACATTAAAGTGATTTTCATCCATTTCCAACAGAAGCACGAGTTTGAGGTGGCGATGACGTGTGAGGGATGCTCAGGAGCTGTGACCAAAATCCTCAACAAGCTGGGAGGTGAGACTGACTGGTCCTCTCTGTCTTCTGCTTCTGTGACATAACAGAATGAGACACACTAAGATCTGTAAGATTAGATGAAATGTTAGGCTCTGTATCCACTGGATCCACCCTCCCTGAATCCACAGTCAAACCTCTGCAGATGATCCAGAACTCAGCACCACGTCTGGTTTTCAACCAGCCAAAAGCAGCGCATGTCATCCTGCTGTTCAGATCGCTTCACTGGCTTCCAGTTTCTGCCCGCATCAAATTCAAAACTCTGACACTTCCCACAACACTTGAATGAGAACATCTCCCTTCTACCTGAACTCTCTCCCGCTCACTACGCTCGACCAACAAAAACCGCCTGATCCAACCACCACAACAGGGCCGAGGTCGGCAGCTGGACTCTTCTCCTCTGTGGTTCCCCGGTGGTGGAACGAGTTACCAAACTCTGTTCAATCTGCTGACTCCCTCTCAGTCTTTAAGAAAAGATTAAAGAGCAGCTCTTCACTGAGCACCTTTACACTTGACAGATTGAGAAAGGAAAAAAAAAAAAACAAAAGAAAAAAAATAATGTCCTATTCCCTCACACGCAGCCTGCTGTTGGCATCAACGCCCTGTCGCACTTAAACTTGTTCTATGACACTTATCCAGGTTGTTTTCTCCTGACTAGATCCTTGCTTGTGTTGTGTCTGGCTCTCAGATGTATGTCACTGTGGATAAAAGCAAAATTAAGGTGTAGAATCAAGCTTGATCATCTATGCAATTTTAAATTGATTCCATGCCCAAGTTATGGTCCCACGTTGGGTTATCTGTTAGGTCACTTGAGACTGGAATCTGTCCCACCTGTCAATATGTGAGGGGTATCGTATACATTGGACAGTTTATGAGTCTAGGTGGGACTACACGACTGGAGGAGTTCACCTCTACAGCCTTCCCACTCAACTTATCGAGCAGCCAAAAAAAAAAAGTGCCTTTACAAACATTGAAAGGCAGGTTGCATCACATGCCAGCACATGACTTCTTGGCTCTGAATGCTGAGGCAGCCAGCAAGTCACCTGATCCTGGAATGCTTTTTTTTCTCTTTTACTTTTCTTTGGCTTACTCATTAAAGTCCCACTTCTGTTTTTGGATCTTGCCTCCGTGTCTCAGTCTAGACCGTTTCACCACAGCAAGGAACTTCTTTTTAAAAATGAACCCTTTAAAGGAAATTTCTCCCTTTAAGTCCTCCGGTCAGGTCAGATCTTGTACATTTGTGGTGAAGTGATTTGGTGAAACATGAGAATTAATCAGTATTATGAGGAACCGCGTCCTTCTACATTCCACTGTGTGTGCAGTCACGTGAGGCGCTGCGCGGTGGTTTTTGTCAGTGCTGTTGATTCCGGGAATTGAACAACGTGCCTCTTTGTGCTCCTTGCGGTCAGATGTGAAGTTCGAGATTGACCTGCCGAAGAAACTGGTTTGGATCGAGTCCGACAGAGATGTGGAAGTTCTCATGGAGACACTGAAGAAGTGTGGAAAGGACGTCAAGTACAACGGCACCAAATGAAGGAATCTGCTTCGTGTAGAACAGGTGACGAGTGTGTTCGTTTTCCTGCCAGTTGAATTCAGTTTTGTTTATTTGTGGCAATCAATACAGACTTCCTGGAAATCTGTATTTTTTGCTTTTACCTTTACTGTATTTATTGACTTTTGAAACAGTAGGAGGAAAAACGGAAGATTGAATTAAATGTAAATTCACATTGAGCTTGTTAGTCCTCTAGATCATAACTATCTTCATTATCATTCCATCTCTAATGGATTTAGCAGCACAACAGGATGAGAAGGCTTACTTTTTCTGTCATCAATTTTCATACCTGTGTGTGTTTTCTTTAGGAAATCCTCGCTGCTGCTGCAAAGTGAAGATTTCTTTGGAATCCCAGTTAGCTGCCTGTTAGAAAGCGTCTGATGGACCCCACGTGACTCCCCACAGATGTTAGCCTCGTCCAGCTTTTACGCACAAAAAGAGCAAAACACCCTTTGGATGCAGATCTTATCTCAGTGTTGGCCACACCTAGCAAAGCATGTTTAGAGGATGACAAAAAAAAAAATGAAATGACATCTTGTTGCCTTGTTTTTTGTTCCATGAGAAGGAGAAAGAGGTGACGGAGTTATAATGTCCTCCTCCTCTGCCCTCGTCTTCCAACACACCTGGATTCAGCATAGATGTTAAGACAAACGTGATTTATTTTATTTTATTTTTTTTTTTTTAAAGCCAGCCTTCATTCATTTTATATGTTTTGTTTTGTCTTTTAGATGTGTCCATGTGATGAGTAACAGTCAGAACAAGACAAGGCTGCGCAGTAACACTACATATGTTCTTGAATATGAAGTCCTCCCGTTGAATCAGTTTCTACATACAAAATGATGGCTGTAAAAGGAAATACACTAAACAGGACTCCACCAAACTTGCTCTGGCACCATTAAAAGTACATTCCCTAGATAATAAAGCAAACTTATTGGATGTGTTTGCCTCAACCTGGACTCAGCATCATAGACGCTGTTGGATTTAACGTCATAAGAAGTCGTCCTTCGAAGCTCCGTGCATGAAGGTGTCTGCAGATCTGCGCCAAAGGGTGGGAACTCTGTCTGTCTTCCTTTCAGGGACCATCTAGTAGAATTAGCTTTGTCACAGTTTACACTAATCCACTGCTGCACCACATGTCAAAAATATCATGTCGATTTACTCACATGCGTCTTCATTTTCTAGATTCTAGTTCACTGTAGGCTTTGGTTTTGTTACCTTGAGACAACGACGACCTCTTTATTCTGGGCTTTTCTGATGAACTGTCTGTCTTAATATGTTGTGTGCGCACAGGAAAAATCAAATAAAATCTGCCACTTTATGACACACGTCACGGTTTATTGTTTTGCTTCGCTGTTAGAAACACTTGAGTGGTCCTCATGATAAGCATGACGTCTGTGATGTTTACTAAACAACTTGTGTGCGTCCTAATTTCAAACGGAACGAAATGTTTCTGTGCAGGAATCACAAAAGATGTGTTTCTGCTTCGATAGTAAAGACTGGGTAAATGTGATCTCCTTTAAATAGAAAATGATCAGATACATGTATGTTTGCAGAATTATCTATTGATACATAGATTAACCAAATGAAAGTGATGCCACCAGAGTGTGTGCATATTTATAGAGATGTTCTTTTCTTCCATGGATCCTGAGGGGAGTTGTAAAATGCAAAGATGACAAGTACAAAATGACAAGCCAAGCAAGAAGACATATGATAACAACTATCCTTCGAACACTTTGTTCATTTTAAGCGGAGGCCAACAGCACAATCGTGTAGATGCAAAATCTATTTTAGCTGAGAGCCATGTGTGCACATCCTACTGATGGACATGAGGTTCTTCTTAAACGGGTTAAAACCATCATTGAGATTGAAATATTCTTTTCTAAAAATACTAATTAATATACTTAAGATTCAAACTGGCTGCAAGGTGACGCAGTTGGTAGCACTGTCACCTAGCAGCAAGAAGGTCGCCGGTTTGCGTCCCAGTGGGGGCACCGGAATCTTTCTGCGTGGACTTTGCATGTTCTCCCCGTGCAGCGTGGGTTCTCTCTGGGTTCTCCAGCTTACTCCCACAGTCCAAAAACATGTTGAGGTTAATTGGCGATTCTAAATTTTCTGTAGGTGTGAATGTGAGTGTGCTTGGTTGTCTGTCTCTAAGTGTAGCCCTGTGATAGACTGGTGACCTGTCCAGGGTGTCTCCTGCCTTCACCCTGAGTCAGCTGGGATAGACTCCAGCCCCCCACGACCCTAGTGAAGATTAAGCGGTGTATAAATAATGGTTGGATGGAAGATTCAAGCTTGTGAAGAAACATTTTTGTTATTTAATTTAGAAAACATGTTGTCTGTAATCCTCTGGACTTGACCACAGTCTTTGGTCTCTCAGAAGAACCCGGTACAGTCACACATTCGTGTTCCTTGTTTAAGATCTAGACACAACCATGAAACTGGGCCGATGATAAAAACAATGTCCTTCATTGCAGCACAACACAAACCTCCTTATCCAGGCAATATGTTGTGTATAAACACACTGTACAGTCATGTTTTACGTCATATCCAGCAGCTAGACTGTAGGACGGTAGCCAACAGCCTCTTCTGTTCACTCACTGCAAACTGAAGGTGTGAAGAAGTCAGAGTTTCAACCACTAGGAGGCGCTGTGTGATCAAGATGTTCTCACTTTCTTGAGAGCCTGTAATTGATTTTTTTTGCTGTTGTTTTTTTAAATCCAGCATTTGTCCTCTGTACTAGTTGTAACTTTAAAATATATTTACATATTTGTGCTCCTGAAGGGCACAACGATTATCCAGTGTCCTTTATTGCCCAGTTTTTCTTTTGCAAGACTAAAAGAAAAGCACATTGTTGTGTGATTTCTACAGGAGACCGCAAATGTTTGGACCAATTACAGGCAGAGAGAAGTTCCACATGAGTTTAATTTTTAATATTTCTACATTGGTATCATCATGTCAGACACATCATCAGCCGCTTGACTTTTTTTTTTACAAACTACAAAAGGCTGGACGTCCTACTGTCAGCCTGAACCAGAGTTCTGTGGCAGGTTACAATGTGTGGTGTCTCCAGAGATGATTGTTTTCATGAATATCTTGTCAGATGCACAAAGATTTTACATCACTGTAATAGATTACTGTAAAATCTAAAAAAAAAAAAACAACTATAAAATAATGTAAAAATCTGAATCAAAAACAAGAAAATTAGCGTGAACAGCAGGTTTCTGTAAACACTGACAGCCTGAATTGAACAAAACATTTGCACACAACAGTCCACAAAGCACTGTTCAGAATATTACAGTGATATTATTGCTGACTTTACCCTCATACCTATTTTTTTTTTAAACAGTTAAAAGGTTAAAATACCTTTACATGAAGTTATTTTTCTCGGTTTCGAAAATACATTTAATACACTATAATTTGTCATACATTGCTGCCTTTGAATAAATGTTTCGACCCATTAAATTGTAACCTCTGTCCTTCGTTGTGTTTGATGATATATATATAGACTTAAGAATTTCTTTGTAGTAGAACAATGGTATGAAGTTGTTAGCTGTACCTTGACATGTTATATCAGTTTGTAAATGTTAAACAGAATTTCAATTCTGGATCATAAATGTAAAAACACATTATTATTTGTGGTACATGTCTGCAAGTCACAGTCATGTTTTTGCATTTTAAAAGAAGAAAATGTATTTATTGTTTTTTTTTTATTAACACAGTTAAAGTTAATTATTCCAGTGGCAACACTATACAGGTACAGGACATTACTGGAACATCTACTGAAAAATAATAGCAACCACAGCTGCCAGTGTTTCACAGTCACTTTACAGGCGTATTTGTCACAGTGCAGCAGCAGCAGCACAGAGAGATGGACGTAAACAGGCAGGTAAACGATGCAGTGCAGCTTCCTGACGGTCCTGACTGAAGTGGCCTGTAGTGTATAAGACGGAATGTACAGACAGGATGTTTAGTGTTTCATCATTGTGCTATCACAGACAGACCCACTCTTCTGTCCCTCACAGTCAAACAGTGAACATCTCTGTATACGATGCCCAGTGTGACAGTCACCAACAAGTGGTGGAGGAGGGTGGCGCAGCAGACGCAGAAGGTGCTGCAGCAGCTTAGCTTCTGGCTGTTCAACGGACACCAAGAAGGAAATCAGCAATTGAAACAGAAGTCACTATAATCACTTCCTCATGCTATAAAAACAGCCATCCCTGAATGTGGGCCCATTAGTCTGAAACAAGAGGCCTGAAACCTCAGAGGGTTGTAGGCTTGTTTCATTCAGCTAAGTTCGATCTCTCAGGTCGTGTACTTGCTTTCTTTATCAGACTTAAAAAGGTAATTCATCACCTCCAGACTGGATCACTACAACACACGTCACTTTGTTTTCAGGAAGGGAAACATCCAGCGGCTCCAGTTCCTCCAAAACGCTGCTCCTTTGTGTTTAACAGTAGAGGTGACTACTTTACTCCACATCTTGTCGGACGTCACCAGTTACTAGTTAGTTTTAATTTGAAGATGTCACCGGCTGTTTATAAAGCCTTAAACTACCAGGCAGCAACTTGTGTTTGTGATCCTTTAACTCCTTCTGAGCCTGATGGCTGTTTGAGATGCTGAATCTCTTCTCATGAACACAGGACGTTGTTGTGCTGCCACACTGTGGGAATCCCTCTTCAAGGATCTCACACTGTCACCGTCCACTTTGGAAACATTACTGAAAAGCGTCTATTTTATTATTAGAAGCTCTGCTCTTAAATGGTTTTATTGCAGTTGTGTTATTTAGTTTTTTGTGAATTTTACTCATTTTTAAATATATTTTAAGATGTTGGTGGGGGTTTTTTTTCATCCTTTGCATTGTGGTTATTTTATTTTAGTTATTTCATATTTTTACATACAATATTTACCATTAATCTTTTATTACGGAACCCTTCCAGGTGTTTTAATAAAGATGTTATTAATAAAATTTGACCAACTAAATATCAATGTTTCAGTACAATCTCTGCTTACAAGTCATTATCATGGGACAAAAAAAATGTAAATCTGATTATAATAAAAGAAATGTTTCTGGACATAGATTTTATTTGAACAATGAAGGGGTAATTTTGAGCATCAAACACTTCACATCCTGCATTCAGGTGAATCTTTTTGCACTAATTTGTTCCTTTTCTGCATTTTTTTTCCTGTTTGAAATCTATTTATGTGTGTAACTAAATTCAGCTTCACTCAGAAAATATTTTTGCGATCCTTTGCCCCTTTGATGTTTTTATTGTGGGGGAACAAATCCATGCATTCGAAACAGTTTGGGAACGTATCACCTGCATCCACCCTGAAATCTAATCCTCAATGTGTTAAAAAACAGTTATCATCTGATGACTGTGCTGTTATTGCTACAGTTACACAGATAAGATGAATACAATAAGTGTTAGCAACGTTTCTACCTAACAATTAATCAGAGGCATTGCTAAAAGATGGTCAAAAACAAAAAACAGACGAAACAAACCACTCAATGACCTGCTTTCCATGATCTACATCTTTGTGCAGAAACAGCGGAGGCCTGTGCAGCTCTCTACTCCTGCATTAGGTTAAATAAGCGGCAGGATTTGCTCGCTGGATAAGGATGCGCTCACTGATCTCTCCCTTCATATGGCTGCAAATGCTGAACTTTGTATTATACCAGAGGAGATGCTGAGGAGCAGAGCAGCGAAGGCCTTCCTCCCTGTGTTCAGAGCCGGCTGGACGCTGTAGATACCTGAAAGAACAAGATTTACATTTTTATATCAGGTGATGATGGTTATGATCTGGTCTGACTGCGGCTGACTGGAACTGCCTCATCAGAAAGCATTAGCAACCATCCTTTAAGACAGAAATATCATGGATGACACTAGAAGACCTTTGATCAGACAAACGTGTTTGTCAGTCTCAGGTGGCCATTTTTGTTCTTTAAAAAAGCTTCAGGATGCAGCAGAAAGCATGTCTGAAGTGTTGCATTCAATCATCATGACATCAATCAGAACTGCCACAATGACTTCAACTTATTTTCAGCTTTAGAAAGATAACTATTTTCACTAGCGGTTTGAGTAACTTCTGTGATTGCAGCTTCTTAAATGTGAATATTTTCTGATTTCTTTTCTACTTTAAGACAGTAAACTGAACATCGTTTACATATTTGGCAAAACAAGACACTTGAGGACGTCATCTTTAGCTTTCAGACTCATTGGATGACATTTCATAGATCAAACAACTAATCAGTTAATTGAGGAATCAAGCGCCCCTGTTTTTAGTAATGAAATAACACGTGCAGCTCATTCTGAACAGTTTC